TTTATATAACTTGGCATTCTCATACGCATGCAAGCGAAACTCATCAAGCTCGTTCAATTGCATTACCCGCTTTCTACCTACTAATTCTGCATCAAATCAGCTTCTTTATCGCCCAATAGGCCTTGTGCTCAAGTTCCACCGGTAAATGGCATGCCTTCCCATAAACTAGCTTGTAAGGGGAGGTTCCGATTGGAGTTTTTTAGCCAGTCCAGTATGCCCATAGAGCATCATCAAGCTTTGCAGCCCAATCTTTCCTACTTGCACTAACTGTCTTCTCGAGGATCTTCTTTATCTCTCTATTTGAGACTTTAACTTACCCACTAGTCTCAGGATGGTAAGCGATTGCAACCTTATGTTTGACCCCATATTGCACTAAGGCATTGTCCAAGAGCTTGTTACAGAAATGGGTGCCCCCATCACTAATCATCACTATCGGAATTTACTACAACCTTGGCATCATTGGCAGGAAGAGAAATGTCCTCCACCCACTTCGACACTTAGTCAACGGCCACCAAAATGTACTTACACCCACTGGACAAGGGAAACAGACCCATAAAATCAATTCCCCACACATCAAAAATTTCAACCTCCATAATATCGTGCAATGGCATCTCATGCCTTTTAGTGATTGTTCCTGTTCTCTGGCACCTATCACACCTCCTCACGAACTCATGGGCATATTTAAACACCTTAGCTGCCGTTTTGTCACCCGCATAATGACCACCATAGGGTGACGCATGACAGTCATGTAAGATAGCATTTATTTCAAATTCGGGCACACATCTTCTCATTAACTGATCGGTACAAGATTTGAACAGAAATGGATCATCCTACACATATGACCTCACATATCGTAAGAACGTCTTTTTAGCATAAGGTTCAAGATCAGGCTCTATCCACTTGCCAGATAGTTCATAAAATCTGCATTCCATGGCACCTCCCCAGCAGTAATGGCCAACAATTGCTCATCCGGGAATGTTTCCTTGATGACATCTCCCTCAGCTACATGATTCTGAGTTTCTAACTTGGATAGGTGATCAGCCACTTGATTCTCTGTTCCTTTACGGTCTCAGATCTCCAAATCAAATCCCTGCAAAAAAGTAAAACCCAACGGATTAGACTTGGTGTAGCATCTTTCTTTTCGAACAAATACCTGATGGCTGCATGGTCTATGTAGACGATGACTTTGGTGCTAACCAAATAGGCCCGAAAGTTATCGAACGCCCACACTACAGCAAGCAACTCCTTTTCTGTCATAGTATAATTTATTTAAGCAGGAGAAAGAGTCTTGCTTGCGTAGTAAATGGAGTGAAGTTTTTTTCTCCTCCTCTGTCCCAACACGGCCCCAATTGCACCATCACTAGCATAACACATCAGCTCAAATGGCTCTTTCCAGTCTGGAGCCACTATGATTGGTGCACTCACTAACTTCTTTTTTCAGCTCCTCGAATGCTTTCAGACAAGCATCGTCAAACTTGAACGGCACATCCTTCTATAACAACCTGCACAAAAGAGAAGAAATTTTTGAGAAATCCTTTATAAATCGGCGATAAAAACCTAAATGTCCCAAAAAACTCCCAACTCTTTTCACTGAAATTGGTGGTGGCAACTTTTCAATTGCTTCCACCTTAGCTTTGTCTACTTCCAGTCCATCTTTGGATACCTTGTGCCCCAATACTATACCTTCACGTACCATAAAATAGCACTTTTTCCAATTCAGTACCAGATTAGTCTCCTCATAACTTGCAAGCACTTTAGCAAGATTGGTCAAGAATTCATCAAAAGAAGCACAAAACACAGAAAAATCATCCATAAAAACCTCCACAAACCATTCCACCATATCGGTTAAAATAGGCATCATACACCTTTGAAAAGTCGTAGGTGCATTACACAACCTGAGTGGCATTCTCTTAAATGCAAAATTGCCATAAGGGCATGTAAAAGTTGTCTTTTCTTGATCTTTCGGGGCAATAACAATCTAATTATACCACGAATAGCCGTCAAGGACCCAATAGTATTTCTGTCCGGCTAACCTGTCAAGCATTTGATCAATGAAGGGGAAGGGGAAGTGATCTTTTCGTGTAGCGTTATTCAACTTCCTATAATCTATGCATATTCGCCAACCAGTCACAGTCCTAGCAGGGATTAATTCATTTTGTTCATTCACTACAACAGTCATACCCCCTTTTTATGTACATATTGAACAAGGCTTACCCACTTATTATTGGAGATGGGGAATACTATACCTGTATAGAGACACTTAATCACTTCTTTTCTTACCACCTCTTTCATGATTGGATTTAGGCGGCGTTGATGTTCAACGCTAGGCTGGTGTCCCTCCTCCATGAGTATTTTGTGCATGCAAAATGCAGGGCTAATACCCTTTATGTTAGACATTGTCCAAGCAATGGCATGCTTTTGCTCCCTCCGCACCCTTAAGAGCATTTCTTCCTGCAATTAAGACAAATGAGAAGAAACAATCACATGTGAAGTGTTAGAACTGCTCAAATATGCATAATGAAGATGAGATGGTAAGGGTTTAAGTTCCAGTTTTGGAGCCTCCTCAACTGAGGGTCTAGGGGCAGGTCGATTGGCCTATCTAGAGGCTCAAACTGGGATCTTTCTCTTATGTATTCACAAGATGCATCCAAAATTTGCAACATCTCTTTAACCTCTTCTTCCAATTCCAAGTGATTGAACAACATCAATGCCTTTTCTAGTTCATATTCTTCAAATGCACTTGGATCTACAACTGGTTCATTTATCTTCACCACAGAAATCATGGCCAGGTCCTCGTAATGATGAGGCAACTAAATGGCTCGATATACATTGAAGGCCGCTTCTTTATTGTCCACCCTCAGGATCATCTTACCTTCTCGGACTTTGATAATGGCATCTCCAGTGGCCAAAAGAGGTCATCCCAAGATGATAGGAACTAACTCATCAGCCTCGTAGTCCAGGATGATAAAATCTGCAGGGAAAATAAACTTCCCAATCTGCAGCAAGACGTCCTCAATTACCCCCTTAGGATAAATTGAAGATCTGTCAGCTAACTGTAGCAGCACCGTGGTGGGTCTCGGAGCTCCTAATCCCAATTGTTTGAACACTGACAACACCATCAGATTGATACTTTCACCCAAATCACACAAGGCTCTTCCCACATCAATTTTACCAATCCTCTGGGGGATAGTAAAACTACCCGGATCCTTAAGCTTTTGTGGAAGCTTATGTTGAATCCTGGAAGTGCACTCCTGAATAAGTGCGCCGGTCTCAAATTCAGTTAACCTCCTCTTATTTGCCAATATATCCTTAATATATTTTGCATATTTTGGGACCTCACGGATCATGTCCACCAAAGGGATGTTCAAGTATATCTGCTTTAGCATATCTAAATATTTGTGTAACATGTGGTGGCACCCACTCTGATATTTGCTCAAACTCTGTTTTGTTTCTCTTATCTACCTTTTTGGCACTCTTTCTTCTTCGAGCCCAGACTGCTCCATTTTCTTCTTAGGCACTTCGACTAACTCTCTCCCATTTTTCAACATCACTGTATTGACTTGAGGATTTTTCTCTGTATTACTTGGGAGAGCTCCAACAGGTCTAATATTCTAATTGTTAGCCATTTTCCCAAACTGCCTCTCTAGATTTTTGAACTCTGTGCGCAATTGTTGATTCTTAGCCATAACTTTCTAATTGTCTAGGAAGAGATTTTTCATCATGTTAGTCAAACTCTCTTCTGAGTGCTGTGGAGGTTGAGGTGGACGATTATAATTCGCTTGAGGCCTGATGTTCTGATTTCCACCCCAAGAGAAGTTAGGATGATTCCTCCATTTCGGATTGTATGTGTTATCATATTGAGCATTTTGATTCATCGGCCCTCTAGCTTGTTTCCCCACATAGTAGATTGATTCAGGTTTCACGGGGCAAGTAGACATCTGTTGCACATGCCGCATCTGTTGTGCTTGGTGCATTGTCATCTTATTCATCTGATTTGCTAATCTCGCTATATCTGCCCCCGTGGCTGAGAAATCATCAAGCTCGATCACACATGCTGCCTTTTGTTTAAGTGCTCTTCGTGGTTCCCCATCTCCTTCCCAATTATTATCATTAGCAGTGAAATTGTTTAGTAGGATTTGGATCTCACTATACGGTCTTGCCATGCAACTACCCCCACATGCTGAGTCAAGATTCATCTTTGATGCCTCGTCTAACCCATCAACGAAAGTGTGACCCAACACCTCATCAGTCAGACAATGATGTGGGCAGTCTCTGAGTAGCGTCTTGTATCTTTCCCAAGCTTGATGAAGAGTCTTGCCATCTCGTTGTTGAAACCCAAGAATCTGGCTCCTCAGCGACTTTGTCTTCTTAGTGGGAAAAAACTTGATTAAGAATTTCCTTGCTAGATCATCCCAATTGTGGATTGAGTTTGCGGGCTCCTTTTGCAACCATTCCTTAGCTTCCCCCAGCAGTGAAAAGGGAAATAATGTCAGCCTGACATAGTCCTTGGAAACGTTTGGATAATTGTAAGTGCCTGTAATTTCCAGGATGTTCTGAATGTGCCTCTGCGGGTCTTCATGAGATAGACCCACATATTGCCCTGTGGACTGAATCAGCTATACCATGTATTGTTTGAGTTCAAAGTGACCCGTGATCTCAGGCTTCACAATTGCCTGAGTCATATTAGCAAGATTGGGCCTTGCAGCTTCTATCACCGGACACCATTCATTACCTGCCATCTCTATTGGCTGTGGTTGAACTATGATGTCCAACTCTCTTTCAATTCTAGTTCTAGCTTCAACTTCCCTCCTCACTCTATGAAGTGTTCGTTCGATCTCAGGATCAAGAGGAAGGATATTGTTTGCGCTTCTACTCCTCCGCATTCAAGAGAAGAGCCTGCGTTATCACAAATAAAGCAAACTAAAATTTAAAACTTGAACAAATAATGATTAAAAGCTTAACTTATATAAACAATCAATAACTAAGTCCCCGACAACAACGCCAAAAACTTGTTGGTTCCCCAAGTACACCCAAGTATACGTGGCCATCAAGTAATAAAGTGACTCGAAAGTCGAATGTCGAACCCATAGAGACTTAGATCAATTGTCAACTAAGCAAACTAAAATCAATTAATTGTCCAAGATATTTAAGAGTGATATTTTTCTATTAATCTACTATTGCGAAAATTAAACAAGTAACAACTAATTTATCAAGAATGTAAATGTGTATGATGAGATTTTAATTCAGAGGAGGTGAAAGTTCCAGGGTTCTGGTTGGTTATCAATCCTATTAAGTTCAATAATCACACTCGTTAATCTAGATTATCTATGGTTGCTAATTAACCGGATCGTTTATATGAATAGCATGTTCCTACAATACTACTCGCCTGCTCATAATATATCAATCCTATATTCCTATGGTATTGAGTCTATCATGAATGAATATAATACGGTATTCAATTAAGCAAGAATGTTAGGTATATTCCTATCCTAACCGCGAAATCGTCACCCGAGCCATGGGTTCAGAAACAAGCTCTCTCTAATTCTACTCTAATCTAAACACGACTTTCCCCAAGCATAGCATAGATAGTAGGGTGAATTGGTAGCTACAACAATTCACAAGTTAAAACTAGAATTAAAGAAACAACCACAAGATGATAATCCGAATTAACGAAGATGTAATTAATAAACGTTAATAATAATGTCAACCACAATCCTAGAACTAGAGTGCTTAGCCACTCATGTTCGTAGTAACAATTTTTCAGGTATTTTGCATAAACAAATTACAAAGAAAAGACAAATGAATGAAGAACTCGATGATTTTCTCCTCCAAAAATTGTTCCACGTGTTGTTCTTGCCTCAGGTCGCAAAAACTCCTCTAACAATGGTGTTTAATGACTATTTATATGTGTAGGAAAAAAGCCTAGATGAAATAACCAAGTCCAAAACCAAAAAAGAGACAAAATAGGCTTTAAAATCCGAAAAACCCTCGCTACAGGCCTCGCGGCGTGAGGCAAAACGTGAGCTTCATCTCGCTGTAGCCCATGTGATGCAAGCCTTGTCACTCGCTTTAATGCTCGCCTCGCCTGCTCTAACGCGAGCAAAGTACGCCTGCTGCTGCTTCGATTCAATTTTGTTGCCTAACATTTCCAATTCACGTTTTTGTTTCTTTTTTCAATTGTTCTTTTTGTCTTCTTATGATTTGTCGAAATTGTTCGTTGTAAAATATTTTTAAAAAAGGAACTGTTAATATATGGAAACATGGGAGTTAAATAATAAAAACAATGTACACTATTTATTCATTTAGCATGTAGTAATCTTTCAAAGAAACAACAGAGTTAAAAGAATTTCAATATTAATATATTTTTGTCAATATTACCGTGAAATATATGTTATTTTTGTGTATTCTTGAGTTTTTTTATTTTTATAGAATTTAATGTTTATATTTCATTTTAAAACGTAACAGAAATTGTTAATATGTAGAAATTGTTCGTAGTAAATAAAAGAAAAGTGTTAATATATGGGAACTTAGCAGATTTTTTCTTTAAGCAATAAATATTTATTAAACAACCAAGTCAAATCAGAGTTACATTATGGAAAATCCTTGTTCTTTAAATGAGAAGCATCAAAACAAAAAATAAAAGCTAAACATGAAGTATAGAAATCCCAAGTTACACGAGTTACATACGATAAAACTATACGAGCAAGAGAGAGAGCCGCTTTATTAACGTTCCGCCTAGTCCATGGAAGGACAAATCATTGAATTAATTCTTCAAAACGTGAAAGGACAAATCATTGAAGCAATTGCCAACAGAACACTTTAACTCTATCTTTACTGTACCGTACCATTTTAACACGTCCGACTGACATGGCAAGTAACGTGAGCATCACTGTTGTTGAGCACGTGAATATTAAAAATATGTTGACAAAAACTATTTCAACAGTAAAAATATACCCCTTCCCTATTATATAAACCCTTGTCCCTTTTTACTTTGTCTCTTAAATCTAGCCATATTTCTTCACCCTTTTCTTGATTTTTTGGTTTAAAAATTCTAGTCTTCTCTCCAAATTGAAAGTAGTCTCGCCCGAGTGTTCAGATTTTTGCTTAATCTCTCAATTTTGTGGATAATGTCTCTCACACCAAGAATCGATTCATGTCGGTGTGATCATGAATGTCAATTAAAAACTTCATGGTCTCCATCTAATCCTTGAAGGAGGTTCTATGGATGCAAAATTGAAAAGGTAAGTGTTAATTAACTACAATTAATTATTTTTACTATGTTGTCCCCGATTTTAGTTTGAATCAATTTCTTTTTTTTTTGAAGGACAAAGGTGGATATAAGTATTTTAGGTAGGTTAATGACGAGTTTCCTAGAAAAATGAATAGGGCTATTTGNACTTCATGGTCTCCATCTAATCCTTGAAGGAGGTTCTATGGATGCAAAATTGAAAAGGTAAGTTTTAATTAACTACAATTAATTATTTTTACTATGTTGTCCCCGATTTTAGTTTGAATCAATTTCTTTTTTTTTTTGAAGGACAAAGGTGGATGTAACTATTTTAGGTAGGTTAATGACGAGTTTCCTAGAAAAACGAATAGGGCTATTTGGGGTTTATTGAACAGGGTCAAAGCTTTTGAAGAAGAAAGGAATCGAGCAAGAATATGGAGGAAGAAATTGGCTTCTGTTATAGTAATAGTGCTAATTATCTGGGTTTGCTATTGTGCCTTCGATCGTTGAAGTTGTTGTAGTTCTGCACATGGTTGGAGTAGAAGAGTTTTGATGACATTATGTCATCTATGTCTTAGCTCTTGTATTTTGTGTTTGTAATGGTGGTTGATATATTTTGAATGTGTCTTAACTGGTAGTTTGTGTGAATGTAATTGTAGTCTGTGGCCTTATTTCAATGAACTGAAGAAATTTTCTGCCATTTGTTTTATGTACTGGTTCAAATATGGAATTCGAAGTGCTAACATGTTGAAGTTGTAATTGAACTCAACTGATAAGTACTTAACAAACATCCATCGCAGGCATTAAAGAGCTTGCCATACTTCTTTTTTTAAGGCTCATTCTTGGCCTTTCTTCTTTTTTTTGGGGGTCTGCCTAACATTGGCATTGGTGCTGGAGGCTCAATTACCATGTTATTAGTGTCAGGCCACATCTTCATGTTAGGGATTTGTTCAAGAAAGTATTGATATGCCTTGAGAAATGTCTCTTTTCTATGCCAGTTATCCACATATTTATATGGTTCTTCTTCTTAGCTTGGTGATAGATTGCACATATTGCATGTGCACAAGAGATCCCTCTTAACTGCCAGGATTTACAAGTGCATGTTCTTCTCCTCAAGTTCACTATATATATGTATTCATACTCATCAACCTCAAACCC